ATATATATATATATATATATATATATATATATATATATATATTTTCTTTACCTCTCTCGGTTTAATTCTTTTCAAACCTCTCTCTTTGTTTAATTCTTTTCTTTTCTGTTTAATTCTTTTCTTCCCATTCTTTTCAAACCTCTCTCTCTGTTTAATTCTTTTCTTTTCTGTTTAATTCTTTTCCTCCCTATTTAATTCTAACAGTTTAGTAAATGAAGGGTTGATCTAATTCTCAATAATGGTACAAAGGAGAAGATCTATGATCTCATTAAAAAATCTGACATGATTTCTAACTGCTAATTAACATCTAAATAACTGGGTGATGTAGGTGGAAATCTGATTCTAATTAGTTCGATAATTGATTTTGAATTTTTTTTCTTTTCTTTCATAAAACTACTGTCATTAACCATTTCCAATCTATTTTAATTTTTCCTTGAGTAAAAATGGCTATGCATCCATCCATTATGATTTTCTTCTCTTTGCTCAAGATGATGATTCAATTTAGATGCAATTGATACAGCCAATTTTGATTTTCAATCCCATATCCAAAAAATCTAAATAATTGAAAGAGAGATCTAAGATAACTTTTCTATCTCGTGCAAAAATAAAAGAAAATGAGATCTAACTTACCGAGGACTTTTCTATCTCTTTCCATTCCTATTAGATCTGCCTCGAAGGCCATCTCCAATTCTTCTCTCCCAAACTCTGTGATCTTTCCTATGTTTCTTTCTCCCATTTTCCCTTCCCAAAATCTGCTATTTCTGTTTCTGTTTCCTTTCTTGTTTTTTTTTCTTCAGATCATTTTGCAATTGGAGGGGTTGGGGAGATATTTGGGGAAGGTGGAGAGAGAGAGTCGATAATTTACTTTTTTATTTTATTTTTTTTATAATTATTATTTACTTATTATTATTATCTTTTTTTTTTTTTTCGGGTCGTTACACGACCCTATTCCAAAAACCTTGTCTTTCTTACCCGACAAGCGACGAAACTCTAGTTTCCGCCTCCCCGATTCCGGCGACGCGCCGACAATCCCACGTCTTCAACACCGATTTCCGACGGTCAACCTTCTTTGACACAATGATCCCAACATCAATGCCTTACTTCTACTTGATTCTTCCTCCGAAGAGCAACCACAACGTTCAGGAGGAAAGTTTGGAGATAAAATCATTTTCAAGGGGTAAAAGGTTGGCATAAGAATATAAAATAATACGAAGACATTTGCATTCTAAGGTTTTTTTTAGGATAAGGAAACTCAAAAAGAATAGGGAGGTAATAAAAGTCTTTTTTTAGATTACATTTAATTATTTATTTTATTCTTAGGTAATAACTTCCTGGTTGAAAATTGCACTTTTAAGGCCAGAATATATGCATAACCTAATATCCTGTCATATATAAAAACAAAATAAAATCTTAACCCAATCAAACAAAAATGAAAAATCTGAATCGTTACGACACGTGTCTTTCTGTACTAGTTTTTTAATGGGTTAAGAGATCCAAAATTCTTGAAATTTCTCTAATATGTCACAATTCAAGCCAAAATAAGGTTAGTATCGAAATTAAATAGGGTTAGTATCGAAATTGAGACGAAAAAAAGTCAAACATGTATCGAAAAATAGAGCTCACACGCTGCATTCAGTTGTAGCAACTGAGTATTTTCCCTCATTGAATTTTGAAGTTTAGGCATCCCCGAGAGAGAGATATTAAACCCAAAGGAACTTGGTTCAGATTGTCCTCCCAAATTCGTGGGCATACAATCAATCCGCCCCAATTACCTCAAATAGTTGGTAAGTTCTTGCTCTCTTTGGGTGTAGGATCTGTCGTTGCCATGGGTCACTAAAAGGGGATCTCACCACAACCAAGCAGTTTGGTTAAATCTTGCATGGATTGTTATCCAAAAAGTGGGTCGGAGAAAAATCTAAGAAGGGAAGGTGCGAGTTCCAGCGAACCGAGTAAAGAAGAACCTACGAGTCGGTTTTGGTTTTTGTGTATAGATCAAGTATGCTATGGCCTAAATATGCAACTTAGCCTAATGTCATGGTCGTACTTTTTCAATTGTGCGGTATCGTGATCTTGACATGGAAATTTAGATCGTCTATTGTATGTTAGATCAGATGGCCTCCCATTTACTGAAATACAAGAATGAAGATTGCATTATGTGTGACACAAGGTCTCACTTTCTTGCAAGAAGAGGGACCTTTTCAGGTGAGATAGCTCGTCCTTTAATATTTACTATAACGGACAGCCAACAACGTTTAGAAGTTCATTTACTTGATTTCCTCATTTGAATGAATACTACTTTACTTAGAATCATGTTCTTATTAATTGATTTTGGTTTTGAAAGTTTTCGTATGATAACGATAATTAGTAACATTAAAACGTAATCTTTATTTGCAGGCAATGTAGGTCCTTGGTAGAATAGCCCTAGCCCTAGCCCACAACGATTGAGTAGTTGTTGTTGTAGTGCACAGTTTCGTATTCATTTCGGTAAGTCAATCAGCAGCTAGTCCAACGTTCAAATTATCATCGGGATAATGTGAGATTAGTTGGGAGAGAATGTCACAATCCAGGTGGTGTTCTTAAAAAATTTATTGAGGACGATGACTAATTCAATTGAGAGAGAGAGCCACTCTTATACTATAAAAACAGTAGGTTGCACCTACATGCAGACAAATAAGGCGGCGACATAGAAATGGCGCCCAACTGACCAAGTGAGAGTTGATTCAAGGCAAGTGTCGTATAGTTGGTGAAAAACCTGGTCTAACATTCAAAGACAGAATACAACATAGGACAATACTATTTCACTTGCAGGTCAGTGGAAGAAGATAATATGTATTTTGAGAAGATAGATAGAAATTGCATCAAACAGACACGTTAAGAAAATGGGTTGATGTTGGAAAATTGAGGTTATGCAAAGCCTTGGTTGATCTTTTGTAGCTTCTACGTATGTTACGATGTGGTGAAGATATTGATAAAGAGAAAAATCCTTTGAGAATTAATTTTTGGATTGATTAGATCCTTCTCTGAGCGAGAGAACAGTTAGCTTGCAGAGTTTGACATTTGCTTATTGGTAAATTTTATTTAACTAAGTTCTTCGTCAAAGGTAGGTTTTAATAAGAACAACAAAAAGAATTGAAAAACATATGCTTAGGGTTCTTCAGCAAAGGGAAACACTCTACTCAAGTTGTTTTTTTTTTCTAATTCAGTTATTTATTTCGAAGTATTTCGATCGAGGGTTAAAATTAACATCTAGTTTCAGAGCTAGGATGTCGAAATAAATTCCATCACCACTAAGAGTTATCGAAGGAGATGTAACAATAATAAAAAGTGAAAATGAGAAGAGTAAAAACGCTACAATATTGTTACTCATGAAGAGTAACTACCCAACATAGTCGATAAAGATGTGTGTTAATTTATAGGCACAAGGCATGCGAGACACTATTGAGTATGGTGACAACGTTGAGGCGTGTAATGACAATATGACTCTTGCTGCCATATACCAATTAAACTTGGAGGATGTCATTCATGTTGGTAGAGAAGAACTCGGCAAAGGCAGCGTGGGAGACGTTACAAACAATGCAAATAAGTGTGGACAAAGTCAAGGAAGCAAAGGTATAGACCTTGAAGAGTTAGTTCGAGCTATCCGCATCATGAGTTGCTGGATGACTTTGCCATGACATTGACGGCAATCATCACTGGTTAGACAACAAGGTGGAGGAGATCTCTATCGTCAAGAAGTTCCTTCCAGTTGTCCCCCAAAGTTCATGCAAATCATTACTTCTATTGAGCAATTTGACGACCTTAAGAACATGTCACTTAAGGAGGTCATTGGTTATCCTAAGGCCCATGAGGAGAGACTTCGTGCTTATAAAGGTAGAGAGGAAGAGAAACACCTCTTACTCACACACGATGAGTGACTTGCATAAAAAGAAAAAAGAAAGAAAGATGTAGCTAATTCTTTCTTCTAAAGTACGAAGGAACGTGATAGCCACAATAAAGAAAACAAAGGTAGTAGGCGTTGGCACAGATGTGGTGGCAGAGGAGGCTGTGACAACACCTCACAAACTCTTGGAAGGACAAGTACATGATCAAGTGTTATTCTTTTGAAAAATACGAGCATTGTGTAGTAGAATTTTGCAACAAGAAAGCGATGAGGAGGCAAACCTCACATTCATGCATGAGCAAGGGCTCACATTGATGTTGGACGAGAAGACATCTAACCTGTTCGTGCTCTACTAAGAGATGGTTATGACGAACCTTCTCACAAATAGAGAAGATCAAGTGGAGACCAACACGTAGGACCTAAACAACGGGGTAAGCAACTTCATGTTCAGAGATCGAGCAAAGTTCAAAGAGCATGATGAGAAGCTCGTTGGGAATGTGAAGTTTGGCAACAGATCAATATGTACCTATACATAATTTCTGGGTATCACGAGTCTGAAAAATGTGACCTCATTCTAATTCCAACATTGACAAACTTAAGTGGCACATTGAAAGATGATCGTTATCAAATTTTTATCTATATAGGGCTAGGTGGCAAACTTAAGTAGGTCCACAATACTAAGGCTAAGTTAGAGGGGACGGATCCTTGTACCAGCCATCTACCAAGTACCCATGTGGTCCCTTGTATAGTCAATCGTTTTCCCATCTAATACTAGCAAGTCATAAATACTACTTTGACTCCTACGACATGCTGAAGTTGTCTTTAGCATCACGATTCTCCTAATTTGCCGCAACGGCTTAAATCAGAAACTGTAGTGTCTCCCTGGTTATCATCATTATATTAGGGAGGTGTGAATGGGAAGACCACCTATTCGGGCACCTGTCCTAAGGGTGCCTATCTTTACGAGGAGTTGTGCATAAGGTCGGACTTCGTCCATCAACATTGCATATGAGTGCTCTGAATGTGCATATGGCCATGATATAGCATAATACGCCACAAAGTCTACATTACAAATAATTCTAGCATGCTTAAACCCTAATAAAAGAAAGAATTTAATGTTACACTTTGGAACTAGTTTAATAAAAAAGCCTAATTTGGAGGCGCTCTCCCGAAATTCAGAGTCCAAAGAACCCAAATCCCTATAGCCCTTAATCTTCTTCGTCTACCTCCGAATTCGTCGGTTGCAGACTCGCCATCGCCGCCAAATTAGCCGAATCCTCTGAACCAACGATGTCGTACGATGACGTGGAGATAGAAGACATGGAGTGGAACGAGGAGCTGCAGGCCTTCACGTACCCATGCCCCTGCGGCGACTTGTTCCAAATCACGAAGGAGGATCTTAAGCTCGGAGAAGAGATTGCTCGGTGCCCTAGCTGCTCTCTTTACATCACTGTCATCTACAACATGGAAGATTTTCTCGGAGACTCTGTTCAGAAGAATAACACAGGACTTGAGCCTTCTAAACAACGGCCTGCCGTTGTGGCTTAAGAATACAGGTTATTTACCGATCAACTTGTTTGTTGTCGCCGGAATATTCAGACGAAGTTGTTCTCCTTTTTTCCTTTTCTTTTTAGATGCTTTTGGTGGTTCCTTTTAGGCTACCTTGTTCATACGTCCATATTTTGATATGTCTATTTTCTAATTCGCTGTGTGAGTGGTAGGATAGTTGACTCGAGCCTGGAATTTCTTTGCGTTTTAGAATTTAGGTGGTGAAGTTTTTGAATGGAGAAGGCTTCCGTTTTGGGATTGGAAAATTTCCAATTGGTGTCTCCTCCTCTCTTTGGTAAATCGTTCAGAGAAAAGTGTCTGAAATGAATACTTTTTTCTTGAAGCATTATGCAATTGTGTTTGTTTGTGTTCATCAAGTCTTTAGGATTTACCATGTAAGGACATCTTAGGTTGCTCTGATTGAATCTAATCCGCAATCACTAATTATCAAATTCTCGAACCTTAGGTGTTTAGTTTCTGATCAATTGTGAATGGAGAATACTTTCATTTTGGGATTGAGAAAAGAGAATATGTTGCTTTACCACACCCCCTAGGAGGATAATTTCAATTGGTTAGTTATTTGGCTTAGTGCAGTAGACATGGCCAGTTCATTACTCTGTATAGGCCATAGCTTTAGCATGTGATTCTTTATCATTACAGTTCCCAATTATTTAGAGAATGATGATGATGAAGCGGACAACCTGCAACTATGTTCTTTGTTGTTTACCTTATCAATCTCCTGAAGTTATGATTATTTATATCATATAGGAAAGGAAAGCCCTGTTAGGTTCTCTAAACTCCTTTTTAATAATTTGAATCTCTGGATTGTTTGGCTTAACCCTTCTTTTTACTTATCAAATGGTGCAATATAGAAAAAATTATTGTTGATTTCTTTTCTGTAATAAAATCAAATGTTCAGAGATGATTTTTTTTGAAAAAACACATGTTTCTGAGAGTATTATGCAATTGTGTTGGTTGTGTTCATTATAAAACTATGTTCTCTACGTTAGCTTTATATGGTTGCTCCTTTTTTCAGAGTGCTCGGTGATGAATCATGGTGTCACCACGACAGCTGCACTTGCTGCAGATGAAATTTTGTCAGCCAAATTCTGAGGTTTTCGTTGGCATTAAAGTTTATTCCTTTTCTTTTATTTTTTATCAGAATTATCCATAAAATAGAGGAAGGTAGAGTTGTATGCGGAAAAGTTCATCAAAGTACTATTTTTGTTCCTTATACATGGATCCTTGATCTGTTCACACGATAACTGTATTGAGTTGGGATTTCTTTGGTCGAACACGTCTCCATGGTCTGAGAATGGAGAAGTTTCAGACATAAGATAGATAAAAACCCTAATTATATATTTAATCTTTTGATTGAAAGGGTAATGACTTGTTACTTTTTTTGTTCTCATTTGTCTCTCTTAGCTCTTCTGGTTTCTGTTCTCATTTGTTTATTGCCCTGTTTCCATATTAGATTATATGATGGATTGATCAAAGTGTGTGGAACTCATCAAAACAATCAACTTGCTTAAGGGGACAGTGGCAGAGGCACTGAAAACCCCTTCTTGTAAATGCAGATTAGCTTGTTTCTTGGAAGTTCGGTTGAATTAGATGTTGAAAGCAATTCAAGGTGTGTTATTATCTTCCTATTTAGAATTGTTTATCTTCGGACTTTAGGGATGTGCTTCTTCTAACTACCATGGGTTGATCTAATGATCAATAAAAATCAGGTAAATAACAAAGCATTAAGAGGTACAATTCATGGTGGTGAATACTCATTAATTTTTGTACTTCTTTAATCCTTCCGCTGATAAAAAGTATGATTTATTAGGGAGATTTTGCAAGAGAATCTTGATATTTAGATTGTGTAAATAGTGCTGACACTTTTATGTAATAGGAGCTTTAATATTTTTGTTTACGTCCTTGAGTGTTTAATATGAATAAGGCTGCCTCCTCCTTCCCAGTTTCTTCCTTTATGTCTCAGCCAACAGGCTACGGAGGACCTTGTGGCTCAGGTAAATCTCTCTCCTTTTTCCGCTTCAAACCATCTTCTAATTCAAACATGAATCCTAACAAAATTCTGAAGCTTTCTTCTCTTAAGTTCTAAATGGCGACTCATTCCCAATCCTTCTCACCCTTTTCTTTAATTTCTATCCACAACAATCTCAAATCCCATCTCCAAATTTATTGTCTTGTTGATGAACAGCGCAGCTGAATCTTTCGAGTGTTTTTACATGATGAAGGAAAAAGGAATTGCACCCAGGAATGAAACCTGCAATGATTTCCTGAGTTTGTTTCTGATGATCAACAGATTGGGGTAGCTTGGGTTTTGTTTGCTGAGATGTTTAGGCTTTGATAAAATCTGGTTATGCAAGGCTTTGATAATCTTATCTAGAGGTGAAGTTGAAGAAGGCCAAGGATTTTATTGGGCATATGTAGAGCTTAGGGCTTAAACCCAATGTTGTTATGTATAATACGATAGTACATGGATATTTTTGGAGGGAGAGTTGAAGGGGACAATGCTATTTTTAGAACCTTGAATAGAAACCCGTCAATGGTGCTCTCTGCTGTAACTCAAAGAAGAAACCATCTTGAGATCCCACTTTAGTTGGGAGGAAAACGAAGCATTCTTTACAAAGGTGCGAAAATCTCTCTCTAGCAGATCTTGAGGAGAAACCTGAAAGGAAAAGCCTAAAGAGTACAATATCTGCTAACGGTGGGCTTGGACTTGGGCTGTTACACTATCAATCTCTTTTCCCCTTTGTTTGCAAAGTTAGAGATCATGGACCTATACAATTAAGCCAACATGTTATGAAGTTTACATTCCATCTTTATTCATGCCAATTGGAGCTTCTTTCCGTGCTCATCTTTGCTCAAACGAGCAGGACTGTCTGCCAGATTCATCTTTTCCTTTATCATTGATACGATTACGATAGATAAAGGAAGGGGCAAGAGATAAGATTATCAAAGCCTTTATGACAAATTCGAAATGGGTATTTAAAGGTAGAGGTCAAGAAAAGTTCAAAAGCTTTATTATTAGCGATTCCTTCACAGTTTTTTCAGTTAGTTTGAAACAAAAGTTTCCCCCACTTAGCATTTGCTTTTGATTTCTCTTTTTTCTTTCATTGTGCGCTTATGGCCAATAACCATTCTCTGAAGGCAGAGCACTAAATCTTCACCTTTTACGACCATTAGCTTTCGGTAATGTCTAGAACCACAATACCTTGAATTGCTAGCTTTCACTATCCCTACTTTCATTGGCTTGGCTGCATTAAACTCTTTGCTGAATGAGTCTATTTATGTTTTCTTTTTAAATTCCTAGGACGTTTTAAATCTTTACCATCAAGATCACTCAATATTATCTTTATAGTTTTAAGTTAGTGTGATCCATCTCAAGCAATCCACATAATCATGTCTAAATTTTAAAAAAGATTATAGAAACTTTGACACTCCGAATTATTTATGCATTTTGAAATCATAACATAATTCGATTGCATCTCAACTTAGAATAGAGTGTTTGTGCTTCCTAGATCTTCACCTTATTATTACTTTTGTACATTCTACATTGGAAGCAGCAATGATTTTAGGATTAACAATTCCAAAATCTTGTATTGGTTCATTTTCTTCATTTTGCATCTAGTTTTTGAACTAACCCATCAGTCTCCCAATCAGAAAACCAATTTTTTAAAGCTCCTTTATCAACTTTTGACCATAACTTTCCTAGTGGAAACACATGCATTATGCACCAAATACTTGACTAGATAACCATCATGTGTTTTTAGGTCGTTCTACAAGCCAAATGAGAGGATATAAAAAATTGCATTGGCTTATAGATCGATTTGATAAGCTAGAGTTTGAGAATATAGGCTTCAATGGGGCAATTTGTACCTCATGTGGCATCTGGTTTTGCATTCACTTTCCTTGGTCTTTGGCACACTGTGAATACAATCAAAACCCATAATCTCAAAGGCTCTTCAAGCTTCAAGGTAAGATTTTGGTACCCTCTCGATCGGCCGCTTTCCAAACTCAAGTATTTGGAGCTCGTTTTCGTGTTCTCTTTTTCAGTAATTGCAATTTTCAGACAATTTTGGGAGTACCCTTTTGATCATTTGTCTTTCGAAGTCATCAACTTGGAGCATGCAACCATGTTCCTCCACCTTGCCATATTTTCGGGTTTCGCCCTCTACAGCGAGTTGAATAACTCATCAAACTTGTTGTCTGGGGTGGAGGGCATCTTTGCAGCCTGTGTCTTCAGTCAAGAACTGTTCTTGCTTCATTTCCACTCGGCTGACCACAATGGCATTGAAGGCCATTACCATTGGCTCTTGCAGCTCATAGTGTTTGCATCTCTCGTGTCGGTGCTCGTAGTTGCTTGTTGTCCTACCAACTTCCCTGCAGCTCTTGTTGTTTCATTGTTGGTTGTTCTGCAAGGGTGTTGGTTCATGAACATGGGGTTCATGCTATGGGTTCCAAGCCTGGTTCCTAAGGGCTGCAGCATGAGGATCATTGAAGACAAAATGCTTGGAGCAGTCATTTGCGCTTCCAAGGAAGCTGATATGAGAGCTCGAGCACTTGCCAACCTGCAATTCAGTTGGATACTTGCAGGGATTCTTATATTTACTGGATTTATAAGCCTCAAATATACTAAATCTGAAAATTGCAGCTCGAAGATCCAGTTATCGGATTATGAGCAGCTTTGAGTGGCGCAAAAGATTTCGATATGCATTGACACAGCTACCAGCAGCTGGTGAATCAACCGGTCTAAAGATTGTGATTGTGCTGTTTGTTAAAACCATCGATCAGAATGTATACATATAGAACTTATGTACATTTTGTAGACTGAAACTTGCTAGAGAATGCAACTTTCTTGATGAACTTCATTTTTTTTTTTTTTAAATATGTTTCTCGAGTTCTTGGGTATATTTTAGGAACTTTTCTATTCTACCACACCATGGAATTCCTTTCCTAAAAATCTCTAATAAGATCCAACTTGAAAATAAAAGGAAAAGTTACGAAGCTTCGTACCTATTTTATCCTAATACTATCGTTGTGGTTGGGCTCTAATTTAAGGAAAGAGTACCAAAATTTTATTTAAAATTTCAAAAGGTGTTTGAGAAGTGGAGTAAGTCCAGCTTGACAAATGGAGTAACTCTTTCTTATTTATTCTAGTGGTAGCAATTTGGTGCATTAATTATTCTTTTTAATTATATTTAAAAAAATTATAATTATATTAATTGAACCATAGATTGTCATTTCAGATGTAATAACCCAAAATTAGAAGAAAAAAGGGAGGTCCCTTAATTTCTTTCATTTTACTTGAACGGTATGAGAGAATACACTTTTTGATGGCTCCCAGCTAGCATTTTGACTTAATCGAGTTGGATCTATTATGCTTGGATCCTTTTCTACTAGTTTCAACTATTTAGAAGCCGTTTAAAGTTAGTAGGACTACCTTTTAGCTAACTTTTAGCTCGTTTAAATTATTTGGAGTCTAAGTTGAATTATGCTATGAAATGTTTTGAAATAAGAAAAAGTTGCGAAGCACAACTCCTATGTCATGATTCGAAAGTTATGTTTTGATTGAAATGATTTATGAATATTTATGTCGAGTGTGATATGTGATGAAAGAATGGGGTTGTCCTGCATGATTTATTACGTCACGATGAAAATATGGAGACCTCATGCATATTTGTATGTACACATGCATCGAGATACTTCCCCTTTTATGATAAGTACAAATACGTACACTACAAGACAGGAATGATCATCATGCTTAGCATGGTGCAACGATCGTCGCTTTCCCTCTGGGTGTCTGGCTACAGACCAAAAGGAGCTATCTCGATGAGCAGACCGAGGGGGTGTGCGAGCTCGCTTGGTCAACCTATGCTCGTATGTGTGGATCGTGTGTAGAGAAGCACTACACATCCAATTTGCATGAGTTGGAAAGTCGCCTAAAAGAAGATGGTTTTAAATGATACGTCCTATCATACTGCATGTGTTTGCATTTTTCGACCCCAATAATGGGATCACTTATTGATTATTTCTTAAAATACTCAAGCCATAGAGGCAAAGTACCCCTGTACAATTGACAGCAATATTACGTTGAAGACAATGGAACTCTTGGGTTAACGTAGTTGCATTTTTATTTTATAAATCTTAGGTTAGATTAGGGCATCGTTTTAATCTTTTCATTAGACACGTTTAGTTGGATAGAAATAAGTTTAGATTAAAGAACACTTTTGATCTTTAAACTTTCAATAATAAAAATCTATTTTCTGAACTATAGTTTACAACAATTTAATTTATTGTTATCAAATTTATAACAATTTAATTCATAAAGTTTGATACCAAATAAACTTTAATACGAGGAAAGATAAGTACAATGGCATTATTTTGGAAAGAGAGAGGATGGTAGAAAGAGGCAAAATGAATATTGTGAATTGTTTGAAGTGAGAGAAACAAATAACTTACAAATTGTGAGAAGTGAAGAACATCATCATCATAATCACTCAGACTCCTCCACGAAAGCCTCAACCCGGAGAAGAACAAACCCCACAGCCACTCCAACAAGAACAAGCCCATTGATGATGGCGGCAATCCTGAAAATCTCACCGGCGGCATTACAAGTGGAACCCAGAGCCCCACCGCCGCTTCTGCCCTTTCCCTTTCCCTTCAATGGGCGTTTCAGGGATCCCACAATGTTTGCAAATGACTGATCAGCACAAACGGGAACGCCCAACGAGAAGATGTTGTTGTGAGCTTTCAACCCACCAAAGGAGTTGAGACCAGAAATGTAATGGACAGTGGTGCTCCTCTGCCGCCTCGAGGGGGCGCCGAGCGGGGCGGCGGTGGACATGGCGGGGGAGAGGGTAGCGGATGCGGTGGCCATTGAAGCCTGAAAGAGAATCAAGAGGAGAGATTTGAGGGATGTGAAAATGGGGTGAGATTGAAGATGAAGATTGTTTGTATTTGTATGTATGGAGAAAGTGTGAATGGGGAAATGGATAAGGTGAAAGGAGTATGGGTGGTTCATAAACAGATCACAATTGTGCCAAAGATTTGTGGTATCTTTGAACGTTGGCCAAGGACAAATGTGATTCAAATATCTAAATTTATCTCAATAATAAAATAATTACAATAATGTAATGGTTTTAAAAAAAAAAAAAACACAATCGCCGAAAAAACACGAGATTTGAGTGCAACTCGTGTTTCATTGAACAAAAACTTCATCAAAAAATTGTGGAGTTGGAGTTAGTCCAGGAATGTTACAAACTTTAATGTTGCCTAATTGAGCAATAATGAATCAAGATCAATGAATAAATAAACAAGATCAATCATTAATATAAACAAGATCCAGATCTCCAAGACATTAATACAAACAAATGGAATAATGAATAAATAATTTTCAATATCAACCAAAGATTGTCCATCACCTGCTTTACCACTAACTCTATACAAACCCTAAAACTAAAAGATTATATACAGTTCAAGGAAACAAGGACGTGCAGAACCATTTTTATTCACAAAAGAATTTTCAGCAATCCACAAAACTCCTGCTCGTGTTCATCACTTAAATACTACTTACCAACATCAAAACTGAGGGAACCTGAATGCTACTTTAGGTAAAATCTTGCGATCCTGAGCTGGGGATTGGGGGAGGAATATGCAAGCACTACCTGGATTACAGGTTCCAGAGTACTCTGCTCGCTCACTTAACTGCTTGTGAGATGTCCGACTTACCGTGAACCTCCAGAACTAAACTCTGCAGCTCGGGGAAAATCGATACGAGTAATAGTTCGAGTAATCCATACCCAAGTTGCTTCACACAGATGGTAGACTGCAGATTTACAAAATTCTACTCAAGTTGTTCATTTCTACAGAGATCGAATATGACTAAAACATAAATTTAGAATAATGATAACCCACCTGAGTGAAGTAATAAATATCTTTTGCGCATCTTTTGTACTGCTTGTGCCCTATCAAGCTTACCAAGGGTGTTGGAGCCCCACCTAAAAAGAATGTAATGATAGTCTATTATAAATTGGTCTCCTTCATAGGGGAAATTAAAACATTACAAGATTGTAAACTCATAAATATGATATAATGACTTTCAATGAAAAAAAGTACCAAAATGTTGCTGTCTTATTTATTTGTAAATCAAAGCAGGCTGACCAAGTAAAGTTCTTTTAACAACACAAAATATACGCAGTCACGATGTTAATTGGAGAGAGATAATAAACACATCAGATGCACACTTTTCACGTCACAGAAATAAAACATTACTCACCTAAAAGCATTTTCTTGACATCACTAGCTCTGCGAGCAGCCTCAAGCTGAAGCTCAAAAGATCCAGGCTTGGGGATCTTACTTCCATCAGTTCGGCTAGTAATAGATTCAGAATCATCTTCACTTTGAGCATTCCTTAATTGTATAAAGAATGTTCCATTGGGCCAGAGAACCTGAAGGAACCATGGTGGAATGAATTTTCATTCCTCATTAAATCATTGGTTTTTATACAACGTAGCATAAATTTTTCATTGATAAAATGATTGTTGCAACAGCTGTTTTTCCTCACAGAATCACTCTGATCAAGAGACGGAGATGTATGTCCAATCATTTCAAATTAACAACAATAAAAAGACGTATACTCAATTATAGGATTAGGAATTAGAAGAAAAAAATGAGATGTGACAAATTTTCTGTGTATGAAAATGATGACAATCAATCCAATGCAAAGTACTCCAATTTAATCATTCGGTGTAAGAACACTAATGAATTTTCGGAGTAAGAAAATGATGACAATATTTTCTTTCCATGGCCTCCTAAAAATGCGCCACCAAAAGTTCTTTCACTGTTGGTAACTTAGCTTAGGTTTGTTTGCAATAATTATTAGTAATTCTTTAGTGTAAAAAGTAAAAAATCCATAGTATCAGTGTAAATAATGTGACCCATTTCTTGACAAATCTCTGGAAGAAGCTAAAGCAATTGTTTCACAGAATAGACATCAGGAGTCAGGACTCTTGTACTCGTGCCAGGGGAGAGGGAATTCAACCTTTCACTGAATTTGAATACTACACAGTTTATTAAAATCCTTACTAGTTCTGATACTTACATCTTGGACCCATCGAATACCCTGAGCAATGATGTCCTCCCTCCGTAGCCAGTGTATTTGCCTGACAATCCAATCATCAATGGCATCTTCCATAATTAACTGTAATATTTGTTTTGATATCCAAAGGACCTGCCTCCTGCACAAAAATAAAATGAAATATCAATAGAACAATAAAAGTAGAAGCTGTCGGTTATGAAATCTAGGTTCTTGAGCCTCGCATGAAATTTCATACATGCAAAAAGCCATGTAGGTTGTAACAGCATAGAGTTTGAAAATAGAGAAATAAAATACAAACGCTAGATATACAATTTTTGTAGCGGATAAAAATGCTCAAATGGAGAGAGCGGATATAAATACAAAGTGGCCACCAAAAACTATGCAGAAAATACGGTGATGGGGATGGGGGAAGAAAGCAACGTAGGGACAGAAAAAGAGATATAAAAAACAACCTCAAACTGAGCAGAAAATATGGAACCTTATCAGCGACCATGGATAATTGAAGTAACATACTCACGGAAACAACATATCATAGTCATGGCATTGAAAACATTCATAGAAGAAAAGGGAAAAGAATGGAACCTTAACCAGCCTCTCCTGTTAAGCTGAAATATCTTGTCAACCAGATTTAGAAGAGGTACGCTAACATTAGGTGGAGTCCACTGCAGAAATATAAATGTTGAACAACCAACAAGTTATAAATAATCAGAGCTATATATGCTCGAAACATCAGTTGCATGTTAGAATGATGAGATAACTTCATGATTTTTTTCCCAATCAGAACAATTTGTAGGTCATTTTTAAATTGTGCACTGGAGTTGATAAATTACAACAAAAATACAGTTCCTTGCAAAGAATATCTGAAGAAAGTTTTGCAGTCTACCAGATCCATCACCCTGAGAAAATATACTGGTATGTTGTTCAGCTCAGACCGTAACCGATGTGATTTCCAGTCTATACAGAAATTTCCTCCAACGCCACTGTTTTTCTTTATTGGTCTTATAGCCAGCGAAAACAGTTCGCACGGGGTGTTTTTCTTTTCATTTTTTACATCTTTTTCATATCCTAAAATCGATCTTAATAATCAAACTGGTGAGTCCGGGTTAATAAATTCAATCTTAATAATCATGTACAGTCTGGATTTGCAATATTTGAGACAGATCATTAAAATAATATTCATTAGGCTTACAACTTGCTGGTCGGTTTGATTGTAAATTGGGTAAGTGGCTGAACATCTACCTTGGTTTACCTCACAGAAATGTTACCTCATCATCTTTCCAGGATTTCAATTATTGAGAAAGTGAAAAAGAGGCTAAATACGTGGGGTTCCACCAATTTATTGAAGGGCAGTAGGCAGACTCCCATCCGAGCTATACTGGTTAATCTCCCTATTTATTATCCGTCACTTCTTTAAGGCTCCCACAAATGCGACTACATGCTTCGAAATTCTTTTAAGAAATTTCCTTTGGAAAGGCAGCAAGTAGAAAAGGGCTCATCACCTTCTAAAATGGGATACTGTTAAGGGCTCTATGGAAGATGGGGGGGGGGGGGGTCTGGGG